TATCACCAAAATGTAGGGAAAAAACTTGTCTAGACGCCTTGGAGATAAAAAATAAAAATAAAATAATGCCTCTTTATAATCTAACTCAAAGTTCTGTGATCCTATGACTCCATGTCAGTAACATTATCGTGTGTATAAATGTAATTTTCTACAAAAAATTCTTTCTTCACGAGAGAGAGACAGAGAGAGAGAGAGAGAGAGAGAGAGAAAGGGGAGAGAGAGAGGACAGAACGAGGGAGGGGAGGGGCCTCCCGAACAAAGGAAGCATGCCTCGTTTTTCTCGTGACAAGGTTTTAAATCAGTAGTAAAAGTTTTTCTCACGTCAAACGACACTTTACATTTTATCCTTAAATACGTCAGTAATGGAAAACATTACTATTTGCTTACATGAGTAATAGTCCCAGCAGAATCTCTTTTTTTTTTTTTTGATTCTCTGTGACTATTAAACATTACATCAGAATAAGAGAAAAACTTCCATAACTGATCATTTCTTCACATGAAACTCGTATACTACAGCCAAGAGGCTCTCTTTTTCCTCATTAATCAGATCATTATTATCAGAATCCACATTTTAAATACTTGGCTTTTCTTCTGTTTAAATTAATTGTGCCCTTTTCCCCGCCCCCGGGGGATATGGAGTTTTTATTATCCTATAACTTCTGACCCTAACTGTCCCTATCTCTCTAATTCTATTTATCTAAACACTTAAAACGGTGTGCCTCTTTCGCACTTATAAATCCTGTGGCTCTTTTCATCATCTGTTCTGTTTTTTTTGGAGGGACCCATGCTTCCCCCAAGGTTAAAACGTCTAAACCTGACTATTGTTCTATCGCGTCCGATAGAACGCCCCGTCACGGCGGTCTTGTCCACACTGCAATCTGTCGAGCCAAAATCTCTCTCTCTTCTATTTAAAACAATGTGCAGATTTCCAAAACTGTGATCCGCTTACCTTAGAAGCGACCTTTTTGAAGAGCAGAGAGATTTTTCCAAACCCACAAATCCAGTCTCTATATCTGAGCTCATCTCTGTCCCGCTCCTGCCCCGATCACGTCGGGATTCACCAAAATGAAGTCAATAATTCCCTTTGACTGACGTATCCAAAATCGATGCAAGAGCGAGACAAGAGATCTTCACGTTTAACATCTGCATTTAATTATCTTTACAATCAGATACAGAATGTTCAACAAAAGTGCTCCTATTCTAGGCCTGCTCTTCCCCTGTCCGTGCCCTGTCCTGTCTGACCTCAAAAAACACACACAGGGGCTCATGAGGGAGACTTCCGATGACGTCATCCTTATGCGTCCAAGGGGTGGAGTTTCCGGGTGTGCTGACGTCCCTTGTCCACTGGGAGGCGTCAGAATGCAATTGGTGAATCTCCCAGTCTGCCTCAAGATTCAGGTTCTGAACTCTTGTCCTCGTCAAAATGTTTATTATTTAAAGTTAATAATTCGCCCTGTTTAAACAGCATTTTATCTTTATGACTCATGTCTGATTATCCTGTGTCCTTGGGGTTTTTCCGAGTGCACGGAGGTCTTTCTGGCTATGATGTTCAAATGGTCAAATATTAAAATATACAACACTACCAATCCATTTACAAGGACAAAGGCCCACACATTAGCCTCATCTCACCTTAGCCTAGCACATTAACCATGTGTTTTGCAATCAACGTTTCCTTCATGTTATTCTTGACAATTTGCATATTTCATATCGGTATTGTATATACTTCATTAAATCTACAAAACCATCTTTGTCTGAAAGTGATATTTGTACTGATTTAACTCCAGAAATTGGGTCACTGATTTGTAAAATAATTCATTACCTTCGGAATTGGACTAACTAGCTAATTAAATAATTAAAAGACTCATGAGATTACTGAACCAATAAATGAGCCAATTAATAGATAATGTGACGTCATACGCAGGTTATAAGTTGGGATTTATTTAAATATAGCTATTATCAATTATTGTATTTACTACATCATTGTTTTGATCCAATTCTCCGATATCAATTAAATAACTTAAGTTATGTATGATATTGACTTTTCCTACCCTACATAAGGAAGATAAAAAATCTGGCAATAATGTCAAGGAACAGTAGAGGAACCTCCAAGCTTTCTTCATTAGCCATTTTAGCAAAGGAACCAGAGGACATCAAGCCCCTGCAATCCGAGAAGCCCATTCAAATCAATGTCCCTGCTCATTGGTGAATGGTTTCACAAGGGAGGCTGACATAATTGTGGAAGTGACACCTTTCGGCCTCTCAGCCATGCGCAGTTGCAGCAAGCACCGGTGATCCAAGATTGCCACGTCGGACAGCCATGTGCACTAAAAGAATAGGAGAACTCTGGTCCTCCCGTTCTGCGGAGTGACCCATGATGCTTTGTGCCAAATACGCATGTGTGGCTCTTATGCATGTGCACAGAGGGGCACGGCGGTGTTTTGACCAATCAGCGGCTGGTGATCAGAGCGCAGCTGGAGTAGGAGACAAACGAGCAGAGTTTGTTGCACTAAAGGGTGTATTCATATAAAACCGAAGGGTCTATCAAGAAAAAAAAGTTCAGGATGTCAAGGGACACTATAATACCCACAAAATCTGACCTTTATGAAAGCTGAGGTCGAGCTGTTTTAGTTTACATTGAGTTCTATGGAAAAAAATTCTGGGTAGCCCACGTAAATTTAGTCTTTAGTACCGCGGGTGCCCCCCGAGCCCCTGGGTGGGACAGCCTTAAGCTTGTAATACCCTATCCAGATATTATTATAGATTCATGAGTTGCAGCACCGTTTGTGGTACTTCCGCAGGCTAAGGCGAACATGTCAGCGTTCTCTCCAATCAGTGCTGACTGTAGTGAGCCGCAGTACAGTGCATTGGTGCATCGTCTTCCGTGAGTGTTTAGAAGGAGACAACGGTGACCAACCAGCACACACGCATATTAAAGCAGACTAGAACGAACCGAGATTGTTGCACTAACGATGCATCCACTGTTTTAAAAAAGTTCAGGATGACAATACCACTAAACTCAACATTTGAGAAAGCTGTAGGTTCTATGACAGTCAAGGGCGAGCCGTTTTTCTTAACAATGAGATCTGAAATGTGGGTAGCCCTGATGTATTAAGTTTGCAGTACAATGCCAAAGCATTACAGTAGATAAAGTAAAATATTAATGCGGGACATTCGTAGCATGGTTAGGAGCAAGATGGTTATTGCACCGTGCAGCGGATATCTTAACTCGAACAGCCCCGTAACACTCGCTGTGCATCCCATGTTTAGAAATCCACAGCACAGTTCCGCTTAAGAAGGTAAGTCTGAAGTTCGGAAGAAGGAGCAGGAAGTGCTCTCGACTGTTCCTATCGCCAAACAGCTCCTTTATGCTGGTTTTATGCATTTTCCAGGTGTGCTATATTGGCCTCAAACTCACACTGTGCAAGTGAGTCACAAACAGGAAAGTGATGGGAGTGATCATGCTGTCCGGAGCGATTGACGCACGCACTCAGCCACTCAGTCTATTGCAAAGGCATGGTGTGTCAAGTTTATTTTCTTTGCAGCTCCCAAACTTGAAACAGGATAAAAGCTCTACTGGAAGTTGTGATAAAGTAAAACTTCTTCAAAAAGCACTTGTTGCAAATCATTATTGATGCAAATTCTCGTAAATATATATAGCATTATTTGTGATTTAAAACCTAGAGATTCCATTTAAAAAAAATTTGTGATGTCAAAGTGAGAAAAATCATTGTCTAAAGATAGAACATCTCTAAAGACAAAGTCAAGGTTATTTTTGTAATTCTAACTTTGTTTCATCTGCTCATGTTATTAGATGATGTGTGTGCTTCTGGGTGCAGGTAATTTCCCTCGTGGATGAATAAGGTTTCTTCCTATATACCTTCAATATTTGGTCCAGTTTTGGTTCAGTCCACAGTAACCGAACTAAGTCGATCAGAAAAGAATATCCAATTTAACTAAAGTGAAGCAAGTCATTTATACCTTCATATTATAAAAAAAAGTATAATAAATGAAACCCACTTCTTCTTTCGGCCCCTGATCAGCCCTTACATTTTTTTCGGCCCTCAACCAAAATGAGTTTGACACCCCTGCCGTGGAGTGACGTCTGTGGAAATCCACCACCATCTCCTTGGTCTTCCCCGCGTTAATGAGGAGGTGGTTCCTCTGACACCAGTCCACAAAGTCCTGAATAACTCCTCTGTACTCTGTATCATCGTCCTCGGAGCTGAGTCCAATGATGGCAGTGTCGTCGGAGAGCAGGGGAGGACAGTCCCCTGGGGGGCCCCCACATTGCAGGTCAGGACCTCAGACACGTTCCTCCCTAAGACGTCCCTCCCTCAGACAGGACCTCCCTGGTTCTCACAAACTGGGGTCTGTGAGGTTTTTAATAAATAATTTTATTTATTCCCTATTTTTTAAACATACATATAAGTCCCACATCAAACAGAGACAAACATTATTTTCATTGGGGTACATATGGTCTCAAATCATTATTTTTACAAATAAACTATAATCTGCAAAAAACGTCTTGATTATTGTTTTTTACCTGATTTTGAGCAATCTGTCATAAAATATAATGCAATTAAGGCAAGTAGACACAACCCGGACTCGGACCCGCGTTGCCGGAACGTAAGCTCTGTGACTTAACCATTAGGCCACCATTACACACATTAGAAGGTGTGGAGGAAAACGGGCTCAATCCAGCAAGTTTTGCATCACACATGTTATTTTACCAGTGAGATTAGCCGCGAGGAGTTCTGACAACACGGATCACTCACTTGTTGAAACAGCTGCGGGTGGGACATTGAAATGAAAACAATAACAACTTTTACGGGTTGTAAAACTAATTTTGATATTCAAATATCTCGGCTGAACCACTGTTATCAGTTAAAGATGTATTTGAAAAGAGCATGATTTAATAATGCCTTTTGAAATATTGGGGCTTTGCAAATATTACATATTGCTACTTTAACTGACAAACAAGTGGCCGTCGGAGAAACCCCATGTTGGAAACACACGTCAGTAAAATAACGTATGTGGCCAACCAACTCGATGGGCAGATCAATTCGGCAGAACATCGGTCAGATCATTCCTGCAAACGTGGCTGTTGTTCAGTGCCTTCTGACATCGCTTCCTCAAAAGTAAGAACATAAAGTTCCCAAGTTGCGTGCACGGTCAAAGTAGACAGCATTATACGAGGTGTGAGCCTCGTTGACCAGTTTATAATATGAGAAACACTACACAAGGCAGTTGTATTTTTACTTTTATAAGAATTCTTTTAAATTGATAATGAAAGCCTGTAAGTATTTCTCTCCAGCCAAATGACAAAACACCCATTAATTGATCATATATCACATATGCATCGCAGGTTGAATCAAATATTCAGAGTCGTTACATTCCCACATAAATCCAGTGGCGGTCCGTGCATTTCAGACCTGCGCCTGCAATGATGTCCTAACCCAGCGATCTCTGACTTTTTTAGTGCCACACAGTGCCCCCCAGGCAGTGTGCCTCCTGTGTTAAAATGACAGGAGGTACAGAGCTGTAGTTTGTATACACACGCATGACGCGCACTAGCTGCGCAACCAACGAAGTTTGTGGAAAAATAAACATTGATAAAAAATAAATAATAAGAAAAAAATATTTTATATATAATATTTATATATATATATATAATATATGTAATCATGTTTAGGCTAGCAGTGAATGCCTTGCAGGCCTTGAGGGTTCGCCACTGCATAAATCACCTTGAGTGATCCTATGCCAAATGTGACATGTAAATGTCTCCTGTGTGAGATCAATAAAGTCTATCCTATGTTATCTTATCTTATGTAATCCCGGCTCAATGGTTGCAGTAAAAGTAGATCTTGGTTTGATGTGGGGTCACCCTTGGCTTAGACATTACCTGCCATGGATTCTCCAAATTGAAAAAAAGATAAAAGAAAATGCCTAAAAGCAGGAGTAAATCAATTCTTAACTTGGTAATTCCAAAGCGAATTCTATGCACGATACTATGTCGTACACGCCCCGCCTTTCCTCCCAGTGTCAGTGAAGGCAGCACAGCAGTGAACCTGTTGCACCAGACCGGGCCGCCCCCTCCATGTGTCCGCCCCTGCTCCGTGCATATTAACCCGAGCTCTCTCCTCCTCCAGCCAGCCTCCGTTCTCCCACTCACACGCCGCTGTCACCACTGCAAGTCCCGGCTGAACATGGCTTCTAACAGGGTTCTGGTCTATGGAGGAAGAGGGGCTCTGGGCTCCAAGATAGTGCAGCATTTCAGGTCCAAAGGCTGGGTACGCGCGGGCTACACTCCTTCATGCTAACATGCTAACATGCTAACAGCACACACGCTGCTTTCCCCTCAAAACATGCTAATACTCGTTATAACTAGTGTTTTCTTTATTACAGTGGGTGGCTAGCATCGATATGGCAGCTAACGAGGAGGCAGATGAAAATGTCATTGTGAAGATGTGTGAATCTTTTACTGATCAGGCTGGACAGGTGAGTTCTGTGGATTAGTCACTGACAGCAGTGTGCATGTGTAAACTGCATTTGACAGCTTTGTTGTATTTAAAGCTGGTGTACCTAACTTTCAAACGCCCAATTATATATTAGAAACACTAGGCTGTGGAAGAATGTTTTTCTGGTGCTTGACTTGGTCTGATTTGTTCATACCATTTTACTTTTACTTTGTGTGGAAACAAACACTATGCTTTATAATAACTAATTCTATTTGTAAGAAATCTTGTTCATAAATGAAGTATTAATGCAACTGCAAGCAAGTCTCAACGAATAGTTTGCCATACATATAATTGTGCGTAGATATTAATTTTACTCAACCATTGTTCAAATAAGTCTAAAAAAAGTTGGGTAATATGCATTCATTCATTCTTGACTATCAAACTGCAATCAAGTACAATAATTGGTCATACCGATATCAATTATATTCATGTGTAATCAGATCCTATGAGGACAAAGTGCAAACTATGCAACACTTTATTACACATTTTATAAAATAATGAATTTAATGCACAATTTGATGTGACAGGCTAATTTTGCATTTTATGCTATGTTTTTTGGTTTATTGTGTTGCACTGTTAGGTTTTGTGGAAAAGTAAGCTGCAATAAAAATACAATTTAATATTTATTTATTTATAAATGCATTTCACTGTTCTGAAGAAGAGAAAAATGTCTGTATGCAAGCTTAAAAGACCCCTGTAAAAAGCTTTGGCCACTGTATTTTGCTCCTCTACTGTTCTGACGTAAATTAACAATTGTAAACCACTTTGAGACTCAGATCTGCAGTGAAAAGGCGGTATATAAATAAAGATTACTTACTACTTACGTCACCCGAAGCCTGTGTCTGTTGTGTTGTTATTAAAGTGATGTTATCTGTCTATCTATCGCTGGGGAGCAGGTGACCGCAGATGTTTCACAGTTGTTGGGCGAACAGAAAGTGGATGCCATCTTGTGCGTGGCCGGGGGCTGGGCCGGAGGAAACTGCGGATCCAAAGGTCAGCCTCTCAACGTTGTTTACTGATGTCATTATGCGTGACATTTAAATCTACATCACTATTCTGCCTGTAGTTTCATGCGATATGCTCCCAGTTTACAATATTATTTAGTGATTACCTTATCCATCAATTCATGGCAGCTGCTTTGAGATTTTGCTGGCTATTGTAGAATCCAAAAACAGGGGCCGTCGGTATTTTAAAATTTGTTTTAGTAATAGTATTATATTAGATTTCTTACGTTTTTGTTGTTGAAAATAAATTGCAATTATTTTTTGAAGATTAAAGAATTTATTTGCCATTTGCAGTAAAACCACATTGGAAAAACTGTACAAGAATGCCCCAGTGTGCACCAGACAGAAGATGGCACACACCAGAGCTTTGTTTTTGATAAATAAATAAAACAATTTGTCGTTTGTCGTCGTTTTAATCCTCCAGCTCAGAAAACCGTCTGTTTTCCAATTCTTTTGTGCATCTGCTGTAAAGCAGTTAAACTCAGGAAGTGTTTGACTTGTAGTTTGTGTTTATTTTATTGTATAGTTTTAACTTGTGTTGTATCCTGCTGCTGAGGCCTGACTCGCTGTGTTTGTGTAGAGTCTGTGTGTTCTGCTCTGAGAATCTGCTGAAAATGAATTGCCTTTTGGGATCATTAAAGGTATAGGAGGATTTTCTACTTGAGGGTGGATCATCAAGACTATTGGCCCTCTCAATTGTCAATCATTCTGCTGATACGTGCTTGTTAAATAAGAACAGAGTTTTATTTAAAAAGTGGAGAGGGCAGTTCTTACCTAAAATTTTGAAAAATCCTCCTAAATCCCTTAAGTTTTCTGAATCTGAAATATATATAAATACATCAAAGTGTTGTAAGGTACCCCGCCCTAATGCTTATATTGTTCCATCAAACCTGGTCTTTTTCAACACAATGATATTAAAGTAACTGTTATGGATTTCCCCACAGATCTATACAAGAACACTGACCTGATGTGGAAGCAGAGCGTGTGGACGTCCACCATCTCCAGCCACCTCGCCGCGCTGCACCTCAAACCCGGAGGACTGCTGACGCTGGCCGGAGCTAAAGCTGCTCTTTCAGGGACTGGAGGTTGGTGGGGTTTTTTCTCTTATAAACAAAATAAAGGAATAAAAGACAAACCTAAAGTATATGGCCGTTACATTGTGCTGTCCAAACGTCTTTTGTTTCGAATCATTTCTTTACAGGCACATACCGGAGGAGGTTGTTTACTCTTCACTCTCATTTATTACAGTCACCCCATGTAACCCTGTGCTCCATCACTTTTCAATAGATGGATTCAATACCATTTACAATAATGAAAGGAACAGAATTTGTCGCACAATTTTAATTGGGAGATGCCAGAAAATAGATATAAGATTGTGTTCACATGAGCATATTCCTGCTGAAAATCTGTGCTGGTAACCTGGAAATCTGATTTCTAGTCTTAGGCCCTGGAATTAGATATTTAGTCTAACCTATCTACATTTTTTTTTTTGTCATTACATTTGTTTATTTGGATGGGGCGTTGTGTAAAGATGGACAGCAGGTGTTGTATTTATACCGGATTGTTCATATTGACTGTGGTCTCATAATTATTTTCTCATAAAGGTGTCTACAAGTTGGGAGAAATGTATGGGTTTGTGAATCTAATTACTATCAAGTAATGCTTTGGGAAAACATATGAATATTTTCTGTTCCAACATTCACTGAATAAATGCACATACAGATACTGAAATACAATTCTACAACATGAACAAAACCTACTGCAATGCCCGTGCCGCACCTACTGGCGGCACGGTGGCTGAGTGGATAGCACTCTCGCCTCTCAGCAAGAAGGTCCTGGGTTCGAATCCCGGTCGGACCAGGGCCTTTCTGAGTGGAGTTTGCATGTTCTCCCCGTGTCTGCGTAGGTTTCCTCCGGGTACTCCGGTTTCCCCTACCACTAAAAATATGTCCAATAGTTCTAGCATGCGCCTCCTGTACTGGCGACGTCGCTCCCATCTCTGTGTGGAGTGAGAGACAAATGCCCAAAAAAAATTAACAATTGTAAACCGCTTTGAGACTCAGATCTGCAGTGAAAAGGCGGTATATAAATAAATACTTACTTACTTACTACTTACTGCAATAAGAATCTTCAAATTGGACTTGGTTCTTTTTGTATCTCCTCTTCTGCAGAAGTTATACATAAGCATTGGCCCATATTTAGCAAAATCTTGATCTCAAATGTCAGACTTGGATGAGAGTGAAGTGTGCTGTGCTCATGTGATCGGTTTGACGGTTCGAAAGAGGGCTTGAGTCGCAGCTGTGATTTCATACTAAGAATATAACATATTTTAAGGCATCTAACTTCAAGAAGACTCTTTTCTTTGCTGTACTTTAATGTAGAGCAACTATGGATCATTTTGTCTGTCTGTCAGAGCAACTGCTTGAATAACACTGAAGAATACATGGCAACTGCTGATCACAAGAAATGTTTAGAGCTCTCTTGTTGGTAGGTTCTGTCTGTCCCAGCGCACTCCGCCATGTGACCCGCTCGGGTTTAGATCAATGCAATCCCTGTCTCAGCGGGACGGCTAAAGCTCATTGGCTGCAGCTTAGAGGACGCCATGACTCAGCATATATGATCCCACACACGAAGCGCTGAAGTGAAAGTGCCAGGGACGGACTATCCATTGTTTAGAAGTCTGCTTACTGGGACGCGGCCGCATCGGGTTCAAACAAAGTAACTTGGGCCAGAGCTTTTGATGAGTGCTCAGAATGATTGATCAAAATCACTCAAGCAAAATTGTGTCCTGAAAATAAATTCGGAATGTTTCTGATAGTAATTGCGGTTTTATCATTCATGTTTGAAATAGTAATTGGTGTGATCGACTTTGCATCAAGTCAATATCACATAAAACATTTTTTTTTCAGAAATGTCTTGCAAATTGTGGCCATTTTATTGTCACCAGACGACCTACAAGTTGATAAATGTTGACACCTCTAATCACCAGGTTGGGACAAACGTTTCAATTGAAGATGATGGTTGCACGTTATCTTTTATACTTAAACATCTGCTTCAACAGAACTTTTACAATGTTATAGTTTTAACCATAAGCTTGTTTGACAACTCAACAATACTGTCCAGTTTGAAGGCTGCTCTGTTCATGTTTTGAAAAATCAATAGTTTAAAAACACGATGGCGGCTAACCCTCTTTGTTTCCCTGGGTGTTTTCATTCCAAAAAACAGTTTATGGGCTATAGGCATTTTACAACTGTGCACGATAAACGTTAGCTAAAAGGAGCGCTGCATTGTGCCAAGTTGTAGCAGAAGATGCATCAATAGACCAGATGGAACACAATATTCACGAGATGAATGAGACGGTAGCCAGCCACTAGACTCTGTTTCGTAAATGTTGAACAAGCTCTGGTCGGTGTGCGTCTGGGTCTAATAATACCCTCCGTTGCTGCTTTATTGGCATGGAAACATCTAATCCTATCCATGCATTTAGATTTATGACAAGACTCTCTGCTAAGGACATATTTAGTGTTCACATCATGCCATATCCAACATTTAATCATTGCAGATGTTTGTGCCATTTACGCTAGCCGAGGTAACAAATAGCGCTTTAAAATCAACATTGTGCTTTATTGATTTTTGCATTGACTTTCGCATTACCTCCCACCACCTCCAAAAGTAGCCAATAACAGTGAGTGCAATGCTCCAACGGACAAAGTAATCGTTTAAGCACTTTCATTATATTCGACTCTTGTGTGCTTGCAGACTCATGTGTCTATTATATTTTGTATTAATCCAGATTTGGTCAAAGCTGGCTTAAAAAGGTCCATCCCCACCCCTTGCTCCTATTGGCCACTTGTTTGTTGGGCCGTTTAGTGAGCTTGTCAGATGATTGGTTTAGAATAACTGGAATTCTTTGTGTTTTATTAGAGTAGTGGTTCCAGATGCGCTGGCTCGGCTTAGAGGGCTAGTTATGGACTTTGGTGAGTGACTTTTGCCTGGTCGCTGACCTGGCGGCTTAAAAGATTACACAATGCAAAAGTAGGTTATAGTTTGACCTCAGTTGGGTTGGAAAGTTGCCTCTGTACTCAGTTCAAAACAAGAAGCTTTAGGGAGTTAAAGCAGATATGAGTTTTGGCAGTGAAGCAGCTTAAAATGAATGGTCTAACCTTTTGAATCTTTCTTCTGGACTCATTACCTTCTACTTTGCCTTGTTTTTTTTGTTTTTTTTTAATTTAGATCAAAGTATTTCTAGAATTGCCAATAGTAAGTAAGTTTTTATTTATATACCGCCTTTTCACTGCAGATCTGAGTCTCAAAGCGGTTTACAATTGTTAATTTTGGGCATTTGTCTCTCACTCCACACAGAGATGGGAGCGGGGTCGCCAGTACAGGAGGCACATGCCAGAACTATTGGACATATTTTTAGTGGTAGGGGAAACCGGAGAACCCGGAGGAAACCTACACAGACACGGGGAGAACATGCAAACTCCACTCAGAAAATCCCCGACCGGGATTCGAACCCAGGACTCTTGCTGAGAGGCGAGAGTGCTATCCACTCAGCCACCGTGCCGCCAAATATGTGATTAATTTGTTTTTAATTCTCTAATGAACAAACGACTTTCTATTTGCCCATTAAGATACTATGAACCGCTAAAAACTTGGTTATAGATCTGCTGTGAGAAGGCCTGGTGGTGGTCAGTGGGTCTGGATGGTGCCTTTGTGTTCTATGTAGATTTTTTTTAAATTGTCTTTTGTGTCGGCGAAAAATGGTTTTCTATAAATAACAATCACTTACTTTTCTAGTCTTTGGATTGACATTCAAATTATTAACACCGTTCTGGATTTTTTTGTTATTTATTTCAAGTTTTATCAAGTTGGGCTCTAAAAACAGGCAGACACAGTAATATCACAAAATTGAAGGAAACAAGAACAAGAGAGGATGTCACAAAATAAATTTTTAGTACAAATATCCTGTAAAGTGCAAAAGTGTGCTAAGTGCTATGTGATGTTAAGGTGCTTCACAGCTGTTAAATGTAGTTCCCAACCTTTTTGTCCTGCACTCAAGATCTCTATAGCGTCGTCCTGAGGGTTGAAGTTCAGAGAGCCAATGATAGCCTTTCTCACTACCTTCCTACTGTACAGGTCTCTGGGCTGACACCTTACTGGCCACTTTAACCAGACTGCCAAGTTTGGTTTGTATTTGTTTGCCAGGGTATGGACTATATACAGTAGACAAATATCCTTTGCACAAAAAAAGGAACTTCAGAAAACATATTTACTCTACTCTGTCAATGTTCAAATCCAGGTTTAAGACTGTTCTGTTTGTCTGTGCATACAACTGAAGGATTTTATCTCCATTTCTAATGCACTGTTGTTATTTTTTTTTTTTTTTTTTTTTTTTTTAATGTTGTAATTGTGATTCTGGTGTTATGTGATGATTTGTGATGTGGACTGTGAAGCGCTTTGTGTTGCCCTGTGTATGAAAGGCGCTCTACAAAAAAAACTTGGATTGATTGATAATATATTTATGACTATGACTATCACCGTAGAGGTTCTCTCTAATATCCTGTAAATTACCTCAGTAGGGGGCATTGTAATTGTCAGTGTTGTCTGCACTGGTGGGTAGAGGAGATGTGATTATGAGAAACCCCATTCAAGTTATTGTTTGGTTTATGAGCATAAACTTAAAACCTATTCATGTTTTTATTTAGCTTTTAAGAAGGTGGAATTGCGTAGACAAACCTAAAGACCAATTGTACACTTAGTGAACAAGTGTTTGATCGTACCACTCTAAAGCCTCTCTGTTCTCCAGTTTACAAAGCTCACCTGTGATTTCAGGAATGGTGGGATATGGAATGGCCAAAGCTGCGGTCCATCAGTTGTGTCAGAGCCTGGCGGTCAAAAACAGCGGGATGCCTTCAGAATCCACAGCCGTCGCGATCCTCCCGTAAGTACATGCTATGTGTTTTCAATAAGGGAGAGATTGGACGTAACTAGAGCATCTTATTTTCAAGACACAATAATTAACCAGTGAAACATAATTGCTGACGTTAATTTACATGCTTTAAAACTCAATTACAAAGGCAATCCAAATGAATGGCTTGGGGGCTGAGCGAATTGGCTATAGAATGGAGTAAACGTTGGAACCATTAAAAGTTGAATGTGTTTGCGTGAAATAAGCTTTTATCTTTGGATACTTTGGTTGCTATGGTTACCTTCTTACTCACCCATACAGCCCATGTTCAACCCATACATTTAGAAAAGAGTGGGATAAATTTAACCCATTAAGGCCTGACCCACCTCGTAAAACAGACCTGTAAAACCTGTGGCCGACTTTAGAACCACCTCCAAAACCTGAAGTTTTCCTGAAATTCAACATCTACAGAATGACTGATATCTCGGCTTCTGTAGCAGATAGAAATATAATTTCAAAAGAATTTGAGAGCTGACACTTGTGGCTGTCTATAAGAATGCAGTGCATTATTATAAACCTTCTGTAGAACAAAACAAAAGATATTCCTCACGGGAAAGGTAATAAAACAGCCACAAAAATTTGGAACTAACACATGTTTCTCAATACTATGAGTCACAAAGAACAATAAAGTGGCACTAAAAAATATAAAAAATCCACTCTCAGGCCAAATAGTCAAATAATGACTCACTGGGCTCTTTCTTAAGTAAGCAAAATAAAAAAACACGACTTGTGGTTTGTTTTGCACAAATAACATGCATTGTCAATGCAAGTGAAAATTTAGGTACCTGAGCGGCCACAGTTGCTCCCGAGGTTAGAACGGAGGATGTGAATCCCGTTTGAGTACGTAACGCAAACAGCCCACAGTCACACATTTCACAGATCGGAATTTGCGGATCCACAGATAATCCTCATCACTGGTTTATCTTGATGCATTTCATTGGTCAAAAGAATTGATCAATGAAGAGAATAGGTCAAAAAAAGAAAAATAGACGTGTCCGCTTTCCCGGCCTTAAAGGTAGAAGTGCGCAACAGCGCTCCCGGCTTGAAAGGTAGAAACGTGGGAATGCGTTCCCGGCCTTAATGGGTTAAAGTCAATGTTGCCATGCGGTGGGACAAATAAAAGTGTCCCCGGTCGAACAAACATTTATCAAAGTAAAAATACCAGGATCATGTATTCGGCATTGAATTACAGATTTGGCACAAATGTTATTTTCAATGGAGCCGAAGCAATTCTGGGATGAATCTTTTATAAATTCATCGTAATCCATGTACTGTTTTTGTTAGTAGTAGTAAACAAAAAAGTAGTGATGTATTAGTCACAATGTGGATTTTGAGCTGTGTATTGACACATTATCAATATATTCTCTGCCGCCATGGAATCACAAATACAGCTGGCCAACAATGTGGTTATGTACACAAAAACTCTCCTCAGTTTAGATAACCATGTGTTTTTAGTGTGTGTTAAGTAGCGCCTGGTTTGTGCTATGTCATGGTGAGACGGCCATAATGTGCTTTGTGGGAGTCTCTGGCTGCAGGGCTGTGTTTGGCTGTGCTCACCCCCATCCCTGCACTGCCGGGCCTGTCACATCTGTTCAGCATTAGCCCCGTGACTTGCATTTTCTGCTACAGCCTCCACCACAGCCTGTAGTCACACTGCATCAAAAACACAAATACACCAGGACTGCTGGTTATTGCAGACGTTGTACTCAAGATGAGGAGAATAATCTACCATCTGAGATAGCCATCAGTCTATTCAGTCAGCCAGAAAACTCATATCCTGAACAGAAATCATTTGTGTTTTTGATTACAGTCGTCTCTCTCTCGCTATAACGAGGTTTGTACCTTTCGCGGGTCATCTGTAAATAAAACGCACACAAAATGTGCAAAACAGAGTGCTTCTCATGTGCCGTTTGTTTATTCCAACAATATACAACATCATAACATGATGTAGCTAGTGTAACATGACGGTGAGCTAATTATTCAAAGTCAGGAGAAAAGTTATAGCTGCAACTTTGCAGATTTCACTTTCTGCGGGTAAGTATTTGGGATGTAAACCAAACCTGTGATAAATGAGGTACGCTACACCCTTTTCATGGAGTTGGCAATGTTTCCCAGGCAGGGGTGTTTCTTTACACATTTTCATAAATAATGCTTCAAACGATTTTGTTTGTTTAAACTGATTTGTCACACTGTAGTATTGAGGTGATGGCTGTATTTGAGAATGGTCAGGACTGTGTCTGTGAACGCAGAGCAGCAAACTCACAGATTTAATGGTTCAGCTTCACTGTGGAAGTCTGTCACAAACAGAAGCTTATATTGGCACTGCGCTGTCAGAATCCTCCATATTCTGATCTTGTTTTGACGCTCACACACAACCCTTGCTTTCCTCCTGCTGCGCAGCGAGCCTGGCGACCTCCATGGCAACGTAGCTGCACGAGAGCCGCACGGAGCTTGTGCTCGTAACATAATGCGTTCACAAAACATAGTATCACCTGAATCTCTTGATCTCCGCTGCTGTGAGCACAGGTCACTGTGTTCCAAACAGGAGCCTCAAGCCTGAACACATGTGAGTTTCGGGGACCACAGACCATGAGATTTGATTTTAAACCATGATTAACGTGACGTTACGTAATATAAGCTTGACTTTGAATTGGATGAAGAAAACTGTCATAACTACAAACAGACAATATATTCTTCATATTGTCAAACAGACACTTGGGTGTACAAACTTAAACTACAAATGAGGTTGTAGCGCTGGGTTAAAAATGAAATGAAAGGCCTGCAGGTCTGATTGGAATCTCTCGTTTGATAGGGTTACCTTGGATACGCCCATGAATAGGAAGTTCATGCCGAAAGCAGACACCAGCTCCTGGACGCCGCTGGAATACATCGCAGAGTAAGTCTCATTCAGTGCATTTGATGTGACTAAAGCTGTCCTATTGTTACATTAACGGAGGAGTCGAATGCAGAGAACGCATTATTCACATTTGATTATTATATTATACTTCTCTGACCGCAAGTAACCACTTTAGTAAACATAAATATTTGTTGCTTGCTCCATTTGGAAAATATTTTATTTACAGTGAAACTTTTACTGACAATACAAGCACTTATATTCACGTTGCATGAATATATTGAGTGTATATCTATTCACGGCGCTGGCGTTTCAGGTTGTTCTTCAGCTGGGCCACAGGGGTGAACCGTCCGGCTTCAGGCAGCCTCATGGAACTGGTGACTGCGGCTGGGCAAACTACAGCCACGCCAGCCCAGTAGAACCAGAGCCATGTGGGCAGCAGCAGCGGCAGCAGCAGCGGCAGCAGCAGCGGCAGCAGCGGCAGCAGCGGCAGCAGCGGCAGCAGCGGCAGCAGCAGCGGCAGCAGCAGCGGCAGCAGCAGCGAAACTCATGGAGCCAGCTTCGCTTGAGGGAAAATGAAATATAAGCATCACAACGCTGACAGCTCTACAGCACCCTCTACCTGTGGAACATAGTCTCTTCATGTTCGCGTGGCCCAGGTCCACTCTTCAGTCAGGGATTAACTGGTGACCTCCACTTCTGAATAACACTCTTAACAGGATAAAAGCATCATCTGAAGTGTCTAACATGCCAAATCTATTAGATTTCAATTACTTTGTTTTAGTAACTGAAATTAGTTAGGGTAATTTTACTGAATCAAAACTGTTTTTGCAGCTACATCCGAGCATACAGTTTGAAGCACAGCTTAGTCATGTTTATATTTGTAGCTCAACCATTTTTTGTTTGAAAAACACATATCCTCTTTTTTTTTTTTTTTTTTTGTACTGAAGTATTTTTTCTTAATAAAGTGCCTAACATTTAAAGTATGAAACACATACTTTCCCATTAAAGTAGTAAACACATCTTACATGTATTCACTTGTATGTGATATTATATGAACAGATGGAGAACAGTTTATCTCAAGTGATGCAGTGGAGTATTTCCAGTAAAAGAAATACTCCACTCCTTGTGAGCCAATTGGTGTTGAATTGGCTCACAAGGTTTGTGTGTAAGTGACTGTGGAACCGTTCTTTAAAGCAAAGCTTTAGTTGCATTGCAGTGAATGAACCAAATCTTGCTAATATTTAAAATTTTGATGAATGAACTGTTCATATGAAGTGTGTATGTCACGTTCTGGCCCCCGTCGTACTTATAGTACTTATAGTAGTGTTGTGAAACGCCGCTGTCTTCTCTCAAACGGACAAAAGTGGAATTGTGGAATGGCCTTCTAGTCTTTTAAGTGTCCTTGTGTCCACTGTGTCTTTTTTAGGGTTATATATTGTAACTGAGTCCAATTGAAAATGAATAAAATGTAAGTGTCTGTCTGTAGCTCTGAGCTCTTTCTTGACCCTGAGGGAGAAATGAAATAAAAGCTTCACACTTCTTATTTTATGGTTTTACTGGAGCACTTTGGTGAAATAGAAGCCACTGGAGTTTGTTGATAAACTTGGTTAAAAAGTTTAGTGGTGAGTTCTGAAACTGCTGCCTTGTACAATCATAAAGCCTTTAATACTTGGCCAGGAGCTGATTTAAAAACATTTGGGTTTTCATTAACACATACAATTATGTTGTTTGCTAGAGCAGTGTTCCCCAACCTTTTTGAGCTGTGGCACTATAATCACATACCACACACACCTTTAGCTGAAACTGCTGTCATGATTAACAATGGATAGTCCTATCGTATCGAGAATCAAACATAAATAAGTATTTCTAATCTTCGACATTATTTCTTACCAATTAGATGGTATTGGTTTTCCAAAAACACACCAAACAACATCTCAAGGCACTAATGGAATACTGCCGGAGGATGCTCATTTTAACCCATTACGATTCATCCATAAAGTATTTACATTTCTATTTCACAAAGAATTTTGTTTTTTTTGAGTTGCTGATTTAGATGTTTTGTTTATTATATAAAAACAAGCTTATTTAATGATATAAATGAATTTGATTGGCCCAGCCCTAGTGCACCTGTTTTGTTCTGTCCATCTGCCTCATTTTCCTTGGCTGATTGCATTTATTTTACAATAATTAACATTTATATTTGACTGAAAATAAGGACATAAGTGGAATATACAAAATCATCTTAAAATAATCATATTTTAAGATGATTTTGGCGACTCATTACTGGTCATATTTGTGCTTTTATGTCAGACATCCGAATAAACACATGTTTAGCTACATTCACATAACACACACACACAGGATTTGACCCGTGTTTGTCTCCTGTGCCTAATCTGTCATGTTTCACAAAATGCTTTTTAACAATACATGTGTTTCTCTTTAGTTCTGCTCTTCACACTTTTTTTAAGCCTTTTTTGTCTTAAAATAATTTTCTGTGAGAGCTGTGGAATGAATTGAAAACAAACACAAAATGGTTGTTTTAAAGATGTACTTAATATGTCAAAATGTTCCTTTGACTCTTAGCAAGACAGTCAGAATCATGTTTTGAAAAATAATTGTTGATACATTGTAAATGACAATGAAGAGTAAACCAAAGTTCATTCTGGTAATATCGCCCACACTGTGCATCTAGAACAGCCGAGGCATAATAAGACTGTTCCTTCATGTTTAGTGACTTTAAATGTGGTGTAAAAGGCTACAATATTGACCTAAATAGTTCAGTTAACTCTATTTAGACGTTTCTTTTTGTTATTCCTCTGTACCAGTCCCACACCCTAACCTACGTCTGATGACGCGTTATATTTGAAGAACTGTGAAAGATCAATTCATTTGTGGGGGAATAAATAAAACCATTGTATGTAAACCCTATACTCTGCAGCCTCCTCATTACTGGATCCCTGCTGTTTTCATCCACTAGATGGAGCTCTTGCATCAGCGCTCCTCTGCACTCCTCCCATATACAGCTTTCACTTGTTCACTCGATCTGCATTTGTTTGTGTTTAGTGCCGTGCAACACTGCAGTATTTCACCAATTTATTCAATATCAAATTATTTCAGAAACTGTGTATTTTACCACAAATAACAAAAAAATCCAAATAAGTGAGTGAGGGAGATTTGAAGTTGTATGTGTACAAATGTATGTTATTTTGTTCGGTGGAAATGTCTTGTGTATGTTAAAGAAATAAACAATGTCTTTTTAAAATATTTTTGCTCCAATCTAATTTATTTAGCACCATGACAAACACTGATAAATTCCAAACTCCACAACCACCCATCCATTAAAAACTTAGATCTAGACAATAGTTTCATACCCTGCGATTCCTTTCGCCTCATATTCACTCGCTTCAGCCCTAAACAACTTGCTAAAATATCTCCAATGGTTCCTTGGGACTATATGGTTGTTGACAAGCATAGTGTAATAAATCACTGCGCCTTGGATTAATAGGACAGAGTAAAGCGTTCCCTGGCTCAATGTGGCTGATATGTATTTATTCTACATGGCGGGGTAATTCATCTCACCGTGCTCTTTGTGTGTGTGCGTAAGTGTGTGTGTCTATAGGTGTGTGCGCGCGCCTGTATGCACATGTGTGTGCGTGCGCGTATATGCACGTGTGTAACGTGTGTGTGTGTACGTGTAAATGTATGCGTAAGTGTGTGTGGGCGCGCCTGTATGCACGTGTATAATATGTGTGTTTGCGTGCATGTGTGTATGCGTGTGCGTGTGCGTTTATGCATGTGTGCGCGCTTGCGTATGTGTGTGTATATATTGCAGGAGACAGGAGACTGGAGGGCCCCCTTGTTGCTCCGACATGCATGCGTTGCCCCCCCTCTCCCCCACGATGCCAGAGTGGATTGCCCTTGGGGGGGGGGGACACCGGAGTCAATGTTTATCACACCGAAGCTGATCAAAGATTACCGCGGGGCCGGGAGAGACGCGCGGCCGCTGTTCCCGCATGAGAAAGGGCCAGATAAGTTGTCAGGGCGAGTGACACAGATGTTATTGTGTGCTTATTTGCGCGCTGTTGGGAGCGATGAGGAGCGGATGATTGGGGATGTCACAGGTGCAGTGGTAGTGCTTAGGAGATTTTAGCGCGGAGGAGGGTGATATGGCACATCTGGGGAGCCGAAGTGACAGGCGTGCAGCGGGGTAAAGGGAGAAGTACTTTCGTTTAACTGTGTCTATGTCCCGTCGTGTTCAATAATAGTAAACAAGACGCAGAGTCAGGCAAGGTCACGGGGCCTGTCCTAAATCATGTTCTATAATGTAATGAGAGAGGGCCCCTATAGCACCAGGGTTCCCTAAGTATTTGTATTTTATTTGTTTTATCGGGGCCGATTTAATGGATTCATTTGATCACACTCGACATGCAACCTCATTTATGGACTTATATGCAGTGAAATGATGATTGAGCGGAGTGTACGGATGGCTATGGCCAGGCTACTATACCCAGGTCTCCATTGTTTTCTGTAAGAAAAGTTTGTTAATACATGACATTGTATTTAATTGAATTCAAATTATTAAAGTAAATTTGGCCCCGGCTAAAACTTTTATGGCTACACTTCTATACCCTAGCCTGGTTGTACCACACCTTAGTACAAATTACATTTCGTACTAAGGTCTGGAGGTGCTCCATTGAGCTCCGTTTACAGGTGGGAGGGGTTAACTCCTTTTGCAGATAGAAACGATTGGATCTGAGTTTACCGTTACGTATGTAATGCGCCCAAGTCTGTTGTTAGCATTTAGCATTTAGCCTACCCGTCTCCTTTGCTGCTAACGGAGCCCGTGGGGAGTAGCGCCACAATCTTGACCAGCGATTACATTCACTAAACATTCCTCTTGCTCTGGCTTCAATTTCTTGATAGAACCAGACCAGATTACTTTACTATCGCATTCTTCGCCACTGCCAAACCACCACCTGCCTGTTCGGCGCAAACTCTTGACGTCACCGGCACCGACCTACAACACCCGCCTTCCGCGCTCTCTGAGTAGCCGGTTGAAATACGAACGATTGTATTCGCTAACACAGGGACCAGACCCAGACGTTATATGCAGTGAAATGATGATTGAGCGGAGTGTACGGATGGCTATGGCCAGGCTACTATACCCAGGTCTCCATTGTTTTCTGTAAGAAAAGTTTGTTTGAAGCATAATCAGCTCATTGCAATTCAATACAATGTGTTTTTATATATCCCTAAACCTTTGAGGATAAAGGGTTTACACAGTTGTCAGTTCGCGAACAACAGATCAGAGAATCCAACAATTCAAAAACATGAAATGTAATGAGTACAAACGCATAGAGCCACTTGGGCCATAGGGAGTGGGACGCCCATTGTCCATAAAAGTGCATCCCCATCA